GGAGGGGGGGGGGGATTTCACAGTGAGAAAGGGGTAATTTGACTTAGGCAAAGAGTGGTCACTTTCTGTACTTAACTGTTGATATGTCAAAAAGCAACTTTATGAATTTATTATAGCAAAGAGTGTCAGCATTCAATATAGTTGAGAGACTTGGTTTTATTATTATAGCTTCAACTTACAGCTCTCTTCCATTTAATTTTCTATGCCACGCGTTGCCCTTCTTTCCTTTGTTCATTTATTTCTCTTTTTTTTTTTTTGGGTAATAAAGATATATATTATATTTAAAACTATTATTACTACTAGCTATATTGTTTGTAGTTTTAGCAAGCAAACTACTAGAACAACATTCCAAAACCTTATGACTATTGCCATAATTTCTAGTTTCACACACTGCAGGTTGCACTTCCAAGTCATATCTATATTGTGGCAGCAAGCGTGTCGTAGTTACTCCAAGCTTGTCCTCATTCCATATCTTACTAGCCAAAAGTGGTGGTTCTCTTCCTATTTTTGTATGTTTGCTTCTACTTCTTTCTTTCTTGCTTTACTTTTTTTTTCATTTAAAAAGTTCACAATCTTTGGTTATTAAATTAGGGAGAAATACAAAAAAAAGAGTTATTATAGTTTTGTTTCCTTTTCTCTTTGAATCGAAGCACCAAAAAAGTGAACCTTTATTATTTTGCTTTATTTAGATCGTTCGAAATTAATTATTACACGTCTACTATTATATTTTCTTTTCTAATTTGATTTTGATGGCTAAAGATATAGCTCTTTTTCTTCTAAAATTAGTTATCTACTTAAATTTTGCATCTAATAAAATGGAAAATCCCAAAATAAAGTGGTAAATAAGTAATGATGGTGATTAGCTAAATAGGGTAAAAGGACAAGCCATATGTTAAATATTTTAATTTCAAAACTCCACCAAACTTGGAACCTCTCCACTAGCTCATACCCAATTAAATTATATGAATCATTATAAACTAAATTAAAGTCAAAAGTACCATTTATCCCTTTTTTGTTAATATTAATTGTCAAGTTAGGTTTTCAAAGTGGGAAAAGGGATTTGAAACCATTCGTATTAATTACATGCACAAAATTAGTCAATCAAATATCAATATTACCTAATGCTAAAAATCTATTCTATAGTGGAGCTAAAGATAGACTAGTTGTTTCTTTAATCTACGTTTCATTGATATTTTATTGTAACGTTTACGAAAATATGAGGTCCATTTTATTGTTGGATTAAATTAAATATTCTGTTCTAATTTATTCGACAATTTTTTTTGTTAGGAGGGAGAGGGGGAAGAATTAAACGGAAAAAATCTACATGTATATAGAGATCCTTAGATATACATGTAGAATAAATATTCACGAATAGATAAATATTCCAGTGATTCTTTATTTTTGAGTTGAAAAACTGATCGACCAAATTACTTCTAGTCTTTCTTCACTCTCCACCCCAAAATTGACCTACGGCAGATCAGAGGCGAATCCAGGATTGGAGGCTTATGGGTTTCTACCATAATTTTAAATTAATATGCACTAACAACTGAGTTTACAGTTAGATATTTACAAATATTTAGTAAATTTTTTAATAAAAATACAAAATTTACGCAAGAGTTACTGAGTTCCCGGGAACCCGTATTTCATTCTTTACATCCGCCCCTAGGCATAATGCCCATTCGCTTCTCCGAAGAAGGCAATGCAGAGCAGCAAAATAGAGTAATGTCGACATAAAGTTCCTTATCTTAGCTGGATCTCGGGGAGAATTAAACAAATTTAAACAAATCTATATAAACCAATTCTTCTACTCTAAATGGATGGAGTAGAGAAAAAAGACGTGAGTAGTATTAAAACAAAAAAAAACTTTATAATAAAAAGTGTGGACCCAAAATTCATTAAATACAAAAAGGTGGCTTTGAATAAAGAAAGAAGAAAATAGAGTGAAAGCAATAGCGATGGTGATTAAGAAGACAGGACTCGTGTAGTTATGGGCCCACTTTCTACGGCCCAAAAAGGTTTTCACCGTATTTGCATGTGATGCAGACCTAACTTCCAAAAGTCAATCCAAAACCGTACTCTTTGTATCTTTCGGTATCTCTAGGCCCACAATGTTCACATTCTTTGATTCTTTTTTTTTTTTTTAAATTATTGTAGTATTCAAATTAATGTAGTAAAAATAGCACGGTATAGTCAGTTTTTAGACTGATCATTCAAAAATAGCCAACGTTTACGAAGTCAATAAAAAATAGCCACTATTTTGCTGCAACAGAGACCGGTCCAACATAATATACTGGAGTTCAGTGCACCTGTGTATGAACTCCAACATATTATGCTGGACCGGTAT